ATTGCACGGACCATATCTTAACAACAGCTAAAATGGTCACATTACATGTATTTAGATAGACCAGAAGCGGAGAGCTTGAACGCAGCCCTGATCACTAATATATCCAGATGGTGTAAGATATTTTTCATTAGATATATAACAATACAAATCGGGAGCAAAGCAAACACGGACCTCCAAAAACATCAGAGAAGGGATCAAGCATCATGGAGGAGTAAGCATCCACTGTTGAACGGCCACACCCGCACCTAACCGCAAGATTATGGATAAATATTTTTTGCATTTTCAATAGCACTATACTCTCTCTCTCTTGTGTAAGCATCCATAAGGGCAATAATGCATGTAAAATCCGATGGACTACATGCAAGTTAAAAATCTTGGGAAATGTTATAGTCTTTACAAGGGCAGAACAAGGAATTTTTCCAGGAGAGGGCGGGACAAACCTGCAGGAAAAAAATTGTCCAGCAGGAACGAAAAGGAGACTAAACAATTGTGAAAACTATATTTCACGGGAATGGAAATATGGACCTTTATCAATAACTTTCCGGGGGTAACCAAGTCAGTTTTTGGTTACTTTATACCTATTAGAAGCTCTTAAGAACCCAGAGGGTTCCTACCAGAAATTTTTAAACAAGAGGCCCATGGGCCACATTGCTTACCTGAGCAACTTTGGCCATGCTGTTCTTTACCAGATTTCCCCCCTTGTAATACTTATTGTGTCCCTGCCCTACCCCCGGGGGTCATGATTTTAACAATTTAGAATCTACACTACCCCAGGATGCTTCCGCATAAGTTTCAGCTTTTCTGGCTTAGTTGTTCTTGAGAAGAAGATTTTTAAAGATTTTTCCTATATATTTCAATGTAAAATTTGGATTCCCTATTTTGGCCCTGCCCTACCCCTGGGGGGTCATGATTTTAATAACTTAGAATCTACACTACACCAAGATGCTTCCACATAAGTTTCAGTTTTTCTGGCCCAGTTGTTCTTGAGAAGAAGATTTTTGAAGATTTTTCTTACATATTTCAATGTAAAACTTGGATTCCCTATTGTGGCCCCGCCCTACCCCTGGGGGGTCATGATTTTAATAACTTAGAATCTACACTATCCCAGGATGCTTCCACAAAAGTTTGATCTTTTCTGGCCCCGATGTTCTTGAGAAGAAGATTTTTAAAGATTTTTCCTATATATTTAAATGTAAAATTTGGATTCCCTATTGTGGCCCCGCCCTACCCCCAGGGGTCATGATTTTGACAACTTCAAATCTACACTACCCTAGGATGCTTCCACATAAGTTTCAGTTTTTCTGGCCCAGTTGTTCTTGAGAAGAAGATTTTTGAAGATTTTTCTTACATATTTCAATGTAAAACTTGGATTCCCTATTGTGGCCCCGCCCTACCCCCGGGTCATGATTTTTAAAATTTAGAATCTACACTATCCCAGGATGCTTCCACAAAAGTTTAATCTTTTCTGGCCCCGATGTTCTTGAGAAGAAGATTTTTAAAGATTTTTCCTATATATTTAAATGTAAAATTTGGATTCCCTATTGTGGCCTCGCCCTACCCCCAGGGGTCATGATTTTAACAATCTAAAATCAACACTATCCCAGGATGCTTCCACATAAGTTTCAGCTTTTTTGGCCCAGTGGTTTTTGAGAAGATTTTTAATGACCCCCCCATTTTAGTCTTTTCTTGATTATCTCCCCTTGTAAGGGGATTTGGCCCTTTATTTTAAGAATTTAAACTCCCCTTCATCCAAGGATACTTTGTACCAAGTTTGGTTAAAATTGGCCAAGTGGTTCTTGAGAAGAAGTTGAAAATGTGAAAAGTTTACAGACGGATGGACAGACAGACGGATGGACGAACGGAAGACGGACAATGGGAGATCAGAAAAGCTCACTTTAGCTTTCAGCTCAGGTGAGCTAACAAGAAAAAAGATAATAACCAATACCAACTTTAAAAAAAAAACAACAACTTTTTTGGGGGGGTGGGGGGTGGACACACTCAGGGGCACATTGTTTTCCTTTCCAGTAAACTTTGACTGTTAATTGTATAATATTTAAAGAAATAATACGCATGCATCCAACCATATTTTAATCATTCAGTCACATTACAAAATTTCTTTAAATATCTAGAACATGTAAATATGTGTAATTGTTAAAAACACTTCATGTAATGTAATAATTAGAACTTTTGTATCGCCATGTGATAATATTCAACAATGCGAGGATTGTTGAATCTCCCCACTTTACATTTGGGTACACAGTAGAACTATTTCAATTATCAATATTACTTTCATATATACTAATAGTGTAATGCTTAGTCAACTTCAATGTATACAAAAACATGTACTGTAGATTATTTTATATACATATAATTATATCTGTGCTTGTTGGTAATTGTATCTATCGTGCTTGTAATTTATGATGCCTGAAAGTGCTCTGATTTGAAAATAAACTATCTACAGAAACAAATCATTCAGTGTGTGTAAATTTAAGATATATTATCGTTTTACATCTGAAACAGTTGAAGCAAGTTCATTCTAGGTATTTAAAGATTCATGAATTTGATCAAGGAAAATCCTACCTTTTTCCAACATCTGTTTAAAATATATTGAAAAATGTATTATACATTTTCCATCCCCCCCTTCATTTTCTTTAAAAGATGTAAGATCCGTAACATGAATGTATGTTTATGTAATAAATTTGATGTAATGAAGCCACATTCATGAACATATTTACTACATGTACCAACAGTAGTTACTTCGATTTCTGAAATGTTTTATTTGCATGACTATATTGTCTAATCAGGCAAAAACCAGAGTCATTTCCACCTTTGATATTTTCCCTGACCAAAAATGCTGATCGGCAAGGACCAAGTGAGTTCAAGTGCTAGTGACTATGTGTATACCCATTGAGTTACAAATAGAGTTATTTCTTCAGTGATGCATATTTCAATAAAAGGAAAATAAGAAGTAATTCTCTCGACATGTGCACATCCCTGTAGTGATAGCAGTATTTCAGGTAGATGAGTGTTCGGCACGTTTTCTCGGCATGCGTGTAAATATATCTGAATTTGTGATACTTGAATGCGTAAGTTGCATAGTATATGCTTATACCGTGTAGCATATATAACAGCTGCATAAAGCTCAACAGTACAGTGTTATTAGGGAAAAAATGCATGTGGTAGCCTTTTCTTCTTTATTGTTCAAATACATATTTGTATCAAACATGCATGTGCCGTTTTGATTTTTGTTTTGATCTGCATCTAAATTATTCAAAATTTATATACTCATTTCCAGTTTTCAATAAAATTCCTAGTTTTAATGGATTGTTAGATTTATTTCATGCTCCAAAACTGCTTCATTGAATATGTGTACAAGCCTACATTATGGCGTGTTCCAAAAATTTGCTATCGGAGATGTGTACATGTTAATAGTCAGGCTAGAAAATCACTCAAGTGTAACAAATGCATCAGGGTTTATATAGTAGGTAAAATAAGTGAGCGTATCTGAAAGAAATATGGCGGAAAAGGGAGGACGGGAATGAAACAAGTTGTACAAGGATGAAAATATCACATATTTAAGAGTTCATGTCAGCTTTAAATCCTTCAAAAACAGAAAAGTAACATGTTTAAACCCCTGTCACACCAGGACTGCGTCCTCACGGCGATCACATGGCGTCCATAAAAAATGCAAAACGCTGAGCTGAGCGCAGTAGAGTCTCCTACAGCGCCGTGACAATGCAGCGAGATCTCCACTGAACGCGGTAGGTTCGCGTAGGGTCTCCTAGAACACCAGGGGACGGCGTGCACTTTGGGCATGCATAAAGTATGCGCCGTGTGATCACCGTCTGTTAAGAACGCAGTAGAAATGTAGTATGAGCGCGGTGAGATCTCCAACAATGCAGTGGGAGCTCCGTACACACGCCGTGAAGACGCACATGATCGCAGCATGAACACAGTGATAGTAGACTGTGCTTCCACGGAGACCTCGCGGAGTCCTTAGAGATGTCAGGGCGTTTCTATCGCGCTTTTACGGCACTTCTAATGAGATTGTCTTGTGATTTTTTTGACTGCGATTACACATCGACAACAAGTAGTTGTCACTGCAATCATTGTGCTCCCTTGGCGTTTCTACCGCGTACGTTGGTGATCACAATGCACTTTCACGGCGTTGTTAGAGCATTGTCAGCCAGCTCACAAAACAAGAGCAATGGCCTCATATTTGATCAGCAATAATTCTAACATATTTGTTGCACTCCTGGCCAGGAGTATGGGAGTAGAATTGGGAAGTAAAAATTTCACCAGAACCTGTTCTGTTGTTTCAGTGGAGTTGCCATGGAATTACTTAAATTTTATAACAACCTTTCAGTGTGTTTATTTTTTACATTCATAATAAAATCAAAGAAAAAACACATCTGAATTGATATAATTGAAAAAAGAAGGGTTTTAATTATATAACTTATATATATATATATATATATATATATATATATATATATATATATATATATATATATATATATATATATATATATATATAATTATATAATTAATTATAAAACTAACAGTAATTTGGTACTAAATCATTCAAATATATCCTTTTTGAAGTCTTTTCCCTATGTTACTCGAATCTTTAAAAAAAAATGTGTTACACTCCCTCTGAATATATATACATAGTGAAGAACGCATGGTGGACGTATTGTGAACGCAGCAAGCGCAGTGAGAACGCCGTGAACGCGAGGTGACAACTCCTAACACGCTGTAAAAGCTCCGTGGAAGCGCAGTCAATCGCAAAGAGATCTCCGTTGGGAACGCAGTAACACGCCGCGAGAATGCCGAAGAAACGTGTGGGTTGCCGTAGGGACGCTGTGACATCTTCACATAGTAAATATTTTACAGAAATTTGTGCGATTTCCCTGCGATTCCACTGCGATTGTAACATTTTTACAACGCCGTAATGACTCCGTGTGGACGCAGCTTGGTGTGACATGGCCCTTACATACCTGATGAGCTATGTAGCAGACCTAGTTCCAGATTTTTATGGTATTGGAATCCTGCTGTCCACCAGTTCTGATTATGTCAATTGCTGCCCGACAGTCATACTTGGACTGCCTCAACCATTGAAGACCAACAGCTGGTTGTGGATCGGGTGGCTGACGTGTATACATAGATCCACTATAGTAGCCACCACTGGAATACCTGTCCTGTCTCCTGTTCTGATGTCGCTTACTCCCACAGCTGTTAACATTTTCTTGAAAATGGTGCCATTCGTTTTGAGACGTTCCGTAGTGGTAAGATGATCCTTCACCACTATATCCCGCTGCATAGTCTTCTATTTTTATTTCTCCTCGTTCCAACTTTCCAATGATATCAAGAATAAACTGAGTGATTTCTTTTGCCACATCAGTGTTTCCAGGATTTTTATCTGGATGCCATTGAAGAAGCAATCTTTTAATGACTGCCTTTCTCTCTGGTCTTGGTAACTTCCATGCAGCGATCAACTTTCTTTTTATATCAGCAAGGATACGAACCTGGTCTTTGCTTTGTTTCTGAATCCTCTCAGTACTAAATGGCACCACCTCAGTTGTTTGTTCCTCAGCCTTGCGAACAAATCTATAAAGTTTAATTGAGCTCACTGACATATTCTTTGTACCATCAAACACAGTATAATAGGGAAACTCAGCTTCATCATCTTTTTCAATCACACGAACGTAAATAAATTCAGAGTCAAGCACCAGTATATTATCCTCACCATCAACCTCTACAAGGGGGTCAAATACTTCATATGCTACAATATCTCCCTCTTGAAAATCACAGAATGTGTTGTCAAGTGTATCATGGAGATCAATGGGTACATGTGACCCCAAAGCAGGTGACCAACTTTTTGACTGTAGTTTAATTTGGTGATTCTTACAAACCTCTACAATGTCAATATCTGAATCACAAAGCAGGAGTTCAGCAATGAAATCTCCATCCTGATGTGATACAAGCATCCTCTTAGGCACACACAGACAGACAACCTGACCAAGTTTAGATTTCCATGCCTCAAAGCACTGTTCAAAGGAAGTCCAAAGCGGATTCATTTTCAAATAAATCACAATTCCATCATCAGTCTTTGTGTAATAAATGTATTTGTCTCTACGAGTTTTATCTATCAGCATTTGATTTTCATTGTTTTTCAGGACTGTCTGCAGAGAAGCAACTTGTTTAAAATGAACATTCTGGAGTGAACTTACAATGCTGCTCTTTTGCTGCTGGTCCACACCTTCTTCTACTTTTGTCTGAATGTAGGTGATAATTCCTTCCACGAAAGCTTCACACTGGAAAATTCTCCTCAGCCTTGAAATATAGTCATCAGTTTCACATCCATGTCCTATTTCAGTCACCTCATGAAAAAGTCCAGATAGTGATTTGGGTCTGAATTGATCTGGTAGTTTCTTGAGCAAATCTGTTTTTTGCATCGAGTCTATCTTTACATATTGAACTGTAGATTCTTCACCTAATATTTTTTTAAAAGATGGTCTATCACACAAAACGAGCTCTGTGGAAAGCACTAGCTTGTTATCATCTGAAGGCAGATATAAATCAAGCACTTGTGGGATATGTCTGAACTCAAGATTTTTAGCTTCAAGGCACCTCAGTAAGTCCTTAAATGCTTCTTGTGCAACCTCAATCTCTTTTGGTGCCATTGATTTTGAAGATGTTTTTCTGTGCAGCGAGTTAAACAAACGCAAATAATGGTAAAATCCTGGATTATCCTCAACACCAATCTCTCTAAACATTTCATAAAATTTGCCAAATCTTTCAGGTCCTCTGTGCAGGTAGCCCTCTATACATTTTTCTGTGTCAAGCTGCAAAGCAACTTCATAAGGACAAAGGAATTCATCTATACCGTGATTATAGATGAATGGTGTTTCACTAAGTCCCCTCTTCAGCTCCTGTACGAGAAAATTTCGATTCAGAGAAGAGGACAACAAATTGTCTAGCTCTGTGTAAACACGTTCCATCAATTTAAGTTTCAATGATTTCTCTGTGCACTTATCAGTTTTTAATTTAGCACAAAGTTTGTGAATATGATTAATCACATCACTGACATTAGGAGCATTCCTGATCCCGAGAATGTCTTTATCTACTTTTCCTTTATCTACTTTTTCTTTATCTACTTTTCCAACCACTTTCTCAGGAATAACAATGCACTGTGACCAAACCAGTTCCCATCCTTTTGAAAAAAACGATCCTTCAAAACAAACAAATCTATCACTCCCACACTGAGGTAGTATTTCTGCATGTGTCTTTGGGACTTCAAAAGGAAGCACACAATTAATCTTCCTGAAATTTCTCATGAAAACTGAAAATCCATCTTTTAGTTTCCTCTCCTGGAATATGTAATTCAAAAGAACCTTGGACTTTCTTATAACAAGCTCATCAAAGGTGGTTGCATTTTCAATCTGTTTACCAAAATCCAGCAACATCTCAAATGGTATGTCTTTCTTGATCCCAGCAAATTCCATAAAATCTTCCCATTCTGAATCATGGAACTCTGCAGGTAATAAATCAGTCCGTGAGCAAAGAAGACTGCAAACCTCTAAATATGGTGAATAGAAGTCACAAACTCTCTGAAATGTTCCTGTTTCTTTATTTTCTATCCATGGTATGCCTGCTATCAATTCTCTCATCATTTCATTTTGCTCTCCAGCGTACATTTTTGTACTTTTGATATGCTCCATATGAATTCTAAAGATGAAGTTCTCCAAAGAATTTGCATTGGGTAGGAAAATATCCACATAGAAGTCTTCCTGCTTCAAATAAACAATTCCAAAATCTTCCAGGAAGTCTTTTCTTCTGAGGAGAGTAATTCCCAAACATTCACACATGAAATGTAGATTATCCTCTGGAAAATTTTCCTCATCTTTCAAGCATATTGTTTTCTTTCCTAATGATAAATCAGTCACCAATCCATCAAAGGTTTCAAACAGACAAGTATCTTGGAAGAGAGTCATAATTTCCTCATCTTTTTCTGACACTTTAGAATGCAGCTTGGCTAAAAGAAATGATAGAACTTGATTTGCATTTGCTGTGGATAGGCAATACTTTCCTTTGTGATACTGAAACATTCTCAGAACATTTCGGGGTGTTGACTCAGAAGCACATAAATAATTTGAAAGCTTCTGGCTTTTAACCAACTCTAGTTTCAATAATCTTGGAAAATCCATTCTTGGCACAACTTGTGACATTGTTCGATCTTTCCAGTCAAAGTTGGTACTCAAAACAGCATCAGCCAAGCAAAAAGGATATAAATAATATTCTCCCATTCTGTTTTGAGTGGGAACAAGACACCAATCGGAGAGATACTGGATGCAGTCTTTGGCTACCTCTTCTTTGCTGTTTGTTGAAACAAGGAATGTCCACACCTTCTTAATCCATGGCACTTCTATTTCACCATCATTCCACAAAACTGGATACCTATTCTTGTAGTAACTACTGAGGTTTTCTTCCAAAAGTTCTGCAAAGTGTTTTATAGTGAGTCTCTGAAGACATGGGCTGTTACTCAGACTGTTTTTGAAAACAGGAACCAGTGCACTACTTAAAAAGGCATCTTTTGAATTCTTCAGCAGATGACAGAACTCAGACACTATTTTTGGAGATGACCCAGAAAAACAGGTCAGTATTCCACTTTCCAAAACACATAATGGAATTCCCTCCAGGTGACTGATGTGTTCTCCATTTGGAAAGCAATAAGACAACAAAGTCTCAACATTTGTCACATCTTTCAGAACTGATGATTTAATTTCTATACCAATAGAGTCTATTCTACATCTGTCTTCACAGTTGGTGTTCCATGATAGCAAATACTGAAGCACATCAGCAGCCTCTATTGCCTTAGGAATAAATTCAGTGCTTTGACAGGATGAAAGAGACATTTTAATGCTTTGTAATACCTCTGAAGTTGAATTCAGCAGTTTAAGACCTATCATTTTCAGAATTTTTGTAATTTCTGCAGCTCTTGTGTGTTGAATCATTGCCCATTGGGAATCATCATTCTCATTCTTGGTACCATCAAAAGGCTCTTTGGTTTCATGTTTAAATTGTTCTTTTAGCTCATTAAAATATGCAGGGAATCTCTGCTCCTGGCTTTTCAAGGGTACAAAAGCAACTGCTGATTCCTGGTCTGTTACAGTTTCTCTGGCAAGAATGAAGTCAGTGGCCTTCATTGATGCAATTGTTTCATCGTCTAACAGGATTGGAAACAGAGCAATGTCACATGAGACCACTTTATTATACAGTATTTTGGCAACTATTTTCCATATATCATCTTTTATTTCGTCAATGACTGGGAAAAAACTGTTGTACACATCAATACTGTCAGCACGATTGCTCTGCAACCCAGGAAATAAGATTTTCTTGAGGAACTGCAAAGAGGTGATGTATGCAAATGGTAAAATTTCACTTAATATCAATTCATTCCATGCACCTTTTACAGTGTGTTGGTTTTTTCTGTCTCTCCAAATATTTGTTCTGCTTGAATTCAGAGCAAAGTGACCATTGATATGGACTGGCAGGCCAGTTCTACATGGTAAAGGCAAAAAACAAAATGCCCTCGAGGTCTTCAAATTTTCTGGTGAGTTTGTTGCAGACTCTGCTAAATTGTTATCATTCTCACAGAAGTCCTTCAAACTATTTGTTTTCATCTCCTTCGAATCACTGTCAGACTTTGGTGTCAAACATGCTGCAATACCAGCTCTTGGTGAGAGATTTACTTTCTTTGTCTTGTATCCAAATCTTAACTCATCTGTCAAAGAAATCTTTGTCATTGTCCCAAACACTCTTGATACAGCCCAGGTTTCATTCCATTCCCTGTCATCTGCTTTGATCTTAATATCAATGTGATAATTGCAAGAAAATCCTAAATGTTCACCGAGAACTTTTTGTCCAGTTTTCAATGACAGCAACTCCTTTGTGCATTTTGACTGAAATAATGTCATCTCAGCTGAATCCTTTTCATAAAGTACAGCACTTACTTCACAATGGGTTGAAATCTGTTCATCATCTTCAATCTCTGACAACTTAATACACCTTACATTGTTCAAGAATAGCAAAGATTTGGACATTTCCTTTTTGAATGCCAATAAAATTTTAGACATTCTTTCATCATCAATCTCATCTTCACTGATCTCCGACTTGTCAGCCATTTCTTTTGTGCGTAGGGGGAAACGGAACCAGGTTCCTGAAGATGCTGGAAGAATATCCTGCAGATAGGTTTGGTAGGTTCCTGAATATTTCTCTTTTACACAACTGAGATCATCAACTCTCAGTCCAGGTTCTTCCGGAGTTGCATCTGGAACATATCTGCAATGTGGATCGAACAAAATCAAAGTTCCACCATTTGGGGTTTTCTCTCCTTTTGACAAGAATGATGGAGCATCAGTGATGTGGTAAACAGCATTAAATCCTATTCCAAACTGGCCAGTTTTATTGGGATCATCGGATTTACTCCCCTCTCCAAGATTTGATATTCCCTCGATATCTTTCTCTGAGAAACAAGAATCATTGAAGACAACAAGAGCTGGTCCTTGAATGCTTTTCATGGATTCATCAAATAATTCCTCTTCAGAATGGTTTCGTTTGTCATACACAAAGTGTATTTCTGTTGCTCCTGCATCATCTGCATTTTGCAGAAGTTCATTAAGTATTGAAATATCACATGGATAATCACCCAAGATATTGTTAAGTCTTGTCACAAGTTTTTCTTTTTGTCCAAAGGGCATACCAGATTTAAATCTTCTGATGTACTTTGCACTTTTAGACTGCACATTGAATTTCTTGCACACTGTAATTCTAAGATCTGCATGAGTGAAAATTAGGTTTCTATCATTTATTTTGTCATTTCCATCATCAAAACACATATCCCCTGGTTTTCTCATGATTCCATTATGGTCAGGTAGAAGGAACTCTTTCACAAGTCTGCTGCCATCCAACAAATTGAACAGTTTGACAACAGCATTTAGATTTTCGACAGCTTCCCCTTCTACCATCTCAATGCTTTCTAAAATGTTTACAATGAGATCTGATTCCACAACCTGATGAACACCAACACTTAACAAGAAATCTTCATAGTCCGACCATTTATTATCAATTTTGTAAATATACGGTGGAACATCATCTGTGCTGCAAAGTGATGTACGGCGTGGTTCCACCAACTCACAGGACTGTGTAAGTATACAAGGCAAAGTCTGAAAACTTTCCAAGTCTTCTAATGAAACACAGTTGTTTAAATATTCATATACAGCTTCACATATTTTCCTCAAATTGTTTTCTTTTGAACTTGGTACATTATTTCCCAACTCTGAAACAGTTTTAAGTTGACAAATTACAAGGTCTTGCTCCACATCTTCTGAAGACTTCATAGAAAGATTTCTAAATAAGTCATACCCTGATTCCTGTATGATGTTTTCATCTAAAATTTTCTGTATGTTTCCAATCAAGTACTTACAGTTCATTCTGAATAACATGTTTGGAGCTGCAAATTGACAGTCTTGGCTGGAGCCCCATTGGCATGGCCAATCACTTGGTTTTTTCATCACTGGTAGGAATGGAATGCTCTTGATTTCTTCAAGTATATTTTGTGACGGATTGATTACTGTGATATATTTTAATACTGCAATGCACCTCTTTCTTGCTAATTCAGAATCAATCTGTGCACAAGCTTGTATGCTCTGAACTCTTTCAAGCAGTATTTCATCACGCAAATAGTTTGTATTCATTCCAAGGTCAATCAAAGCCTGCTTGACATCTGACAACATGAATTCATCTTCAGGAAATCTGTTGTCAGAGACACAGAAAATTTCATGCAAATCTGAAGATGGGTCAATTAACTCTGATGGTTTTCTAAGTAATCCTTCTGGCCTTGTTGGAATGCATTCAATATCTTTCATTTTCTTCAGGACTTTCCCTTTGCCACCCCTGAGAATGCGCCTCAGAAGGCAGTTGCGTACTTCCTTTCTTTTGTCAGAGTTCCAAAAGTTGTCCTGAAGATTTACAAGGAAAACAGATGTGAAAAAACTCTCTTCACTGCAGATTTGTTCATCCAAGTAACTCTCACAGCCGGCCGCCTTAAATTCATTTTGTATATGAAGAGGCATGTGCATCACTTGCCTTCCAAAAGGATTAAACTGCTTCAGACACTGGAAAGCAGTTTTTCCCACATCTGGATCATCTTGCAAAGTAAAATCCAGAAAGACACATTCACCAAGAAAGAACTTTTCCAATGGATTTCCATCTTGATAAAATACTTTGCATTCACCCTGGCAAATATCTTCATAGAATGCAGACACAAGAGAGTTGAAGAGATTTCCTTCAAAAGACACAGGCCACACTGCTGAATACTCTGCTGATATGTTGGAGCTCTGGATGTTTTCAAGCATGTTTATGTATGCTGTGCTCAGTGCTGTTGACATCAATGACTGGTTCCAGTCTGCTCGTTTTTCTGTTTTGGTGACATCATGGGATGGAGAAACAATTCTTTTTCTTGTCTGTTCTACTGCAAAACAGCCATTGAGATGAACTAAAGTTTGGCTTTCCTGTGGAAGTGGAAGGAAGCAGAACACATGTCCAGTATTGTAGAATCCATAAGGAGCATTACCTTGATTTCTGTCTAGTGAAAAAGAGAGAGGGATGGCTGTACTGGCTACTGGAAGACATCCCTTAAGTTCTAGTTCAATATCTGATACAGCCCAAGACACAGTCCAGTTAGAAACTGATCCAATCATGGTATTTTCATAATTTCTTCCAAAGAACCTTTCAACATCACTGCTGTTCACTTGTACATTGATGCTAATATTAAAAGTCTCCACATATCTCTTTTCTCCCACTGATACTAAAGCTTTGGCCTTTTCAAGAAGGTTTGTACATTGTAATTCTCCACTCCTTTCAACCAAGTATAACAGGCAACATTTTTCAGGGTCATCAGACTGAAGAGAGTACAGTTCAATCTTTTCAACATTTTGTGTAAACAGCAATAGATTGCCGGCAGATTCCATGAATTTCTTAAAGATAGACACAACATCTCCACGTCTGTACTCTTCTGAGGATATGCTGTTTGTTTCGTCTTTCGCCTGTGTAGCTGTACGTAAAGGTAGTCTGAAGAGAGTGCCATCATATTCCTCCTGATTATTCTCTGCTGAAAGATCACAATTGAAAATTTTATTGTAAGGCATGAACTGCTTTTTGAATTTGCTCACCACCTTTGAAATGGGAATGCGAAGACCAGGTTTTGATTTGTCCTTGATAGCTTTTCCAAGATGTATAGTTCTTGGGTCAAAGAAAACAATATACCTTCCACTGACGATGCTAGGGACATCTGTTACATTGTACACAGAACAGAATCCTAATCCAAATTTTCCAATCTTTGTGTTCTCCAATTTTTTGGTTCCACCTCCAAGTTTAATGATATTCTGAAAATCCTGATCTTCAAATTTAGCATCATTGTAAAACCAAAGGGCAGGTCCCTGACACTCTTCCATACCTTTGTCAATCAAACCAGTTCTTGCCTGTACATTTTGTCTTTCATCAAAAAGTATTTTCATACAACTTGCTCCTGCATCATCAGCATTTTGTAGCATTTCCTTGAACACAGGAAGTCCCTCAGCGTACTCCTCTAAAAGATTTCCAATTCTTGTGGTAAGTGGTTCTTCTTGCCCCCATTGTTCAAATTCCAAATCTTCAATCCCTCCACTTTCCATAACTCTGCGTGTCAAGGATGAAACACCAAGGCACTCGGCAACAGACTCTCTGACCATTTCATGTACAAAGTGAAGCTCCTCATCTTCCTCTCCATCTCTTTGTACTTCCGGAAGTTCAATGTGTTTGTCATCTGTGTAGGTACACTCTTGAGCTGGTTTCAGAAGCAGGTGCTCTGTTTTCATATGAACTGGAAAAAGGATACGAGGCAGTTGCTCTTGAGACAACTTTTCACAATTTTCTTTCAAAATATTCAAGATATCAATCAAAATATGCAAATCTCTTATGAACTCACTGCTTTCTCGGGGGCTATCAATACAGTTGTGGTAGTCTCTGATCTTTTCCTCAACCAGTATGAGATCTTCAGTGGTCAAACACTCTTTGCAGCCTATGTGAATAAAGAAGTTTCTCATTTCAGCCTTATCTGTCCAGCATTCACTCAGTTGATACATGTAAGGCTCTAATTGTATTTGGCATGTATCACTCAAAAATTCTATGTATACATTTGAGCTCTTTGTGAATGATAATTTAGTTGGAACAATGTCTAACTGTTTCAATTCAGCAGAGTTTATATCCTTTGGTGCCAGAAAATCAAACAACTCTTTCAGCATCCATTCATACTCCAAAGGTTGCTTCAAGTCTTTGTACTTCTCTGACAAGTGTTTTAACTGTTGAATAGCTAGATCTGTGTTTGGGGTTTGTAGTAAACATTGTAACACCTCTTGGGTTTGATCACAATCGGAAATAAAACATACAGAGCCAACAACCGAGCTGTTTTCTTGAGAGCACGCATCAATGGGTCTGCATACCTTCTTTTCATCACCCTTCCAATCCATTTGCTTTGGATATCTTTCTGGTCTCTTTCTCATCACTGGCATCCAACACTTTTGCCTCATTTCCTCAATTAACTTGCTAAATTCTAAATCCTGCTGCAGGTTACCAGTGAACTTAAGGACAGCATTTGCTTTCCTTGTACATTTAGCACAGTCTAATGTTGCCTCAGTTATTTCCATAAATGTGACTGTCTCCAATAGATCTGCTGCAGTAATATCTGCTGAGGTTTTAATCTTAAGTTTTTGTAACTTCCAGCAGTCTACAGAATTCTTTGGAAAACGGCTTTTTTCCTCTCCTTGAAAAAGTTCATGCAATTCAGCATCAGATGGATTAAACAAGTCTTTTGGAGCTTTCAATTCATTATTTCCAGTTTCAACAAATGGTATACTGGAAGCTATCTCTAACTGCTTTCCAGAAGTAGACTCATCAAGTCTCTTCAGAAAATAATTCATAAACAAAGCAACTTCCTCTGGTTGGTATATTTCACAGCTTGAAATTGCACACAGGGTCTTTTCCATCAGTCTTTGTTCTTCAAATTCTGGGCATCCCAAACTGTAAGCCAGAGAAAAACTACCATCAATCAGCAGAGTGGGGTATTTGACTGGGAAATTCTTCAATGATTGGGGGACAATGCCTGTAACATCCATCACTGAATAAAGGTCAGCACCTGCTTTGTGTGAATTATGAACTGGAAATAACTTCAATCTCCGTAAATATATCTTCAAGGAATCCGTCATTTTCTTTGAGCTGCTTTTTTCCAAGAATACAGCCAAATGTTTCCTTGTGTTCACTGATAGTTGATTGATCTTACCAATATAGCTTTCATTTTTTTTAAAAGCTTTTTCCAAAACATTACAAACATCTTCTGCTGTTGGATATGCAATATATTTGGTTACGATTTCATCTGGGACAAATGATACTGCTTCCAATAAACCTACACCACAAATTTTCAGAACTTCTTTCACCTCACCAGGAAGTGGAGTCAAGCCCTGTGACTGTGTAAGCATATGGTCTCCCTTCAAAGAATACAGACTGTGAATAGCAGACTTTCCATTCCTTGGTTCTGGTAAAATTGGAAGTGTTTCAACTTCTGGGATCAAATCTTGATTTTCAGACAAAAAAGACCAAACTCTTTTGATCCAAGATGACACAGTTTGCCTACTTGTGTTGTCAAGTTGAGTTGTTGACACAATTCCTTGCGCTTCCATAGATGCTTTCAGTAGTTGTGGAAAATATTTGGGACTCCATTTCTTTAAAAACTCTAATAAAAAAGAAAGACAACAAGTTATGTGTTTATACATATATTTAAAGATAGAGACAGACATTTGGGCACTTTTGAAAAAGTTAAACAAAAAAATAAATCAAGTACATGCTTAATCATCACTTACTTGTTTGACTTGTCATCAATTTGGCTTTCATCTCTTCTCTCAAATCAGATAACAATTGCTTCTCCAACTCTGGAAATAAGTCGGCTTCACTTTCTGAGCATAAATACAGAGTTCCTGTGGATACTAGAGACACAAAGTGGGTCTTGTCATTTGTTGGCAACAGTTCCAGCTGTTTCCATACTTCTTGATGACCATATTCTAAGAAGTAACCAAGAAGTATTACTTTGGTGGATCTATTCTTCTCTTTATATCGGTGATCTCTGAGCAAAAGATTAGCTACATATTCTGTGCTAATAACCCTTGACTGGATTTCAGGTAGAAATCTGTACTTTGTATGTGACTCCACTAAAATTCTCAAATGCTTTGGCAATATGACTAAGTTTTCACCGTACTCTTTGATCAATTCTATCACTACATCCTTTGTTTTCTCTGCTACTTCTCTTTCTCTGTCAACAAAAACATCAAATACAGCCTGTTCAAAACTAACCCAAGTTTTCTCCTGCTTCTCAGTCTGGAAGATATTCATTCTGAGGACACTTTCCATGACAGGCTGAAGGAGGAGTTTCCACAATGCATTATCAACTTTCTGAACATCAGGCAAACAGCGACAGACAATCTCTCGTGGACTACCTTCCTTGAGAAGATCCTCAATCAGCTTTATATATGCTTGAGATATTACTTCTTTAATCAGTCGCTCATTCCATTCTATGTTTTTATCTCTCTTTCCAACCTGCCCTGCTGTGGCTTGTAAAACATGATCTCGAGCTGGATCCAGGTTAAAGAACCCATTCACATGTACAGGCAGATTGGTCAAACTACTGGACTGAAAAGGCAATGGCAGAAAACAGAACACATGAGCATTAAATGATTCCTCCATCTGTAGAGGATATGCTACTCCAACAAATGGTGCATTATCTCCATCTTCTGACAATTCTTTGAGACCTTGGGACATTTCCTTTGTGCCTTGGTAAAAATTGACAATTTTGAACACTGCTTTCTTTGCTGAATCCTCTTTTCCATTCCTGGTGATTACCAGGGCATTGTATGCAATACTTTGGGAATCCTTTGGTTTTGCATTTGTGTCCTTTAACCAATCTCTTGTATATTCTCGTAAGTCAGAAAACTTATCTTTTGATGCACCAGTTCCCTCTATAGTCACTTCATACAATACACTGTCCCTGTTTTCCATTATTGTGATTGAGCTGATGTATTGAAGAAACAGCAGAGTTGTGTCTGCCTCTCTTCTGAATGATTCCATCAATTCCTTCATTCTTGAGGGTTGGTATATCTTTTTCAGGAGGGTGGATGGTGCTCTTCTCAAAGGGAACCAAAACAAAGTATCTGTAAAGAAATTCAAAACAACAGAATTAAATTCCCTCTATTTAAAGATGCCCATGGTTCATGTTGAAATTAGTCAATGACATGAAAGTTGACAGACTGCTGAGAGATGAACACAGAAACTTATATGAACTAAAAAGATTTTAACACATTATTTTTGGGTTTATGAAAAAAAAATCTTTTCTGACATACTTGGAAAATGTTCTTCCTTCACATTAGATGTTTTGAATCCAAAAACGCCTCCTTCATCCAAGTGTAGGACCTTCCTCAGTACTGGCCATAGGGTGAATTTGTACCTTGAGGTAAGCTTCTTGAAGGTGACACTGTGACAAACCCTTTCTGTGGTACTGGTTGGGTTGATAATCAACAACCGATCCCCACTTATAATGACAGGTGTATCTGTGTCAGTGGAAATAGATATGAATGAAATATCTATATGTAAGTCACTTAAGAGCCTGAGGAGCCACTTTAAAAAAAAAATAATTCCCATGATTCCTAGCAGTCAACTTAGTATCGTTTTCAGCACCTTTTTTTAGGGAATATTCCAATGCATGAGCCATTAATGTCACTAGATTCTGGCATTTCTTTTAACACAGTTTTACTACTGTAAATCACTTTTCATTCACGAGAACTTTTCTGCATAAAATTTTACGCCAGTCTGTCTGCTCGTGAATATTTTCTTTTTGCATATGTTTGTGATGTAAAGGATTATTTGTCACAATAAGCACAGCTAACAAAAATTTTAATTTCCTGATAAATAATAAAACATAGGTAATCAGAGATTACAGAGCTCACCTCGACGAATGTTGTTTTTAAGTAAGGGAAAGTCCCACACTAAACTAATAATCTAGTAGTGTGCATCCCTAGATGCAACATTTATGCAAGTTTGGTTCAGATAGGCCTTATAGTTTCTTGGCAATGGACCTGCTCCAAAAACTTTAACCTGGTCACTCATCCAGAAAATGTTGGTCAGATCCAGCATCCGAAGAAGTCCAGTACTGTGCATTCTTAGATGTATCATCCATGCACATTTGGTCAATATGGGGCTTATAATTAGAAATGAGATCTGCTCCAAAAACTTTAACCTGGTCACTCATCCGGAAACTATAGGTCAGATCCAAATATAAGTCAGACCCAGAAAGTTCAGTAGTGCGCATCCTTAGATGTATCATGCATGCAAGTTTGGTCAACATAGGACTTATAGTTAATTGGAAATGAGATCTGCTCCAAAATCTTCAACCTGGCCACTCATCCAAAAAATAAAGGTCAAATCCAGCATCTGAAGCAAGTCTGGTAGTGTGCATTCTTAGATGTATCAAGCATGCAAGTTTGGTCAATATAGGACTTATAGTTACTTGGAAATGAGATCTGCTCCAAAATCTTTAACCTGGTCACTCATCCGGAAAATGTAGGTCAGATCCAGCAACCGAAGCAAGCCTGGTAGTGTGCATCCTTAGATGCATCATCCATGCAAGTTTGGTCAACAAAATTGGGGCTTTTGGTTACTTGGAAATGAGACCTGCTCCAAAACACTTTAACCTGCTCCAAAAACTTAAACCTGCTCCAGAAACATAAACCTGGTCATTCTTTAGCTGAAATTGCAGCATCTGAAACTTAGACTGGTACAATGAAACACACTAGAAGCATCCTCCATGCATCTTTGATTAATATATGGCATAGAAGTACTTGAAAAGAAATCTGATCCAAAAACTTTAACCTGGGACACCGACGGTATTACATAAGCTCCCCCAACTTCGTTGAGGTGAGCTAAAAAGCTTGCTGAAATAAGATGTCGCAAAAACATAATGATCTAGAGTAACTTACATTCTGTCATCTAAGTTTATAGTTAATAAAATATAATGAAAGAGGAACTTTCTTTTATTCCTCCTGCAAAGAACCAACATCTTTGAAGCATATGGTTGCATTGTTTCTAGTGCTGTTTTTTCCCATCTCTGTTACACAACTAAAGCATTGCTGTTTCAAGTCGCTTCTTTCTACATGCAACAAACTGATTCACAAACATGTTTTGAAAAACTGTACTAAATTACAAACATGCCTACAATGTTCTTAAAAGCTGAGCTTAACCTTGCCTTTACAGATATAAAACTGGAAGAATGGACAGATGGACAAAATAATTTCAGTATAAACCCCCTCCCCCTTCCACAACTTTGTTGTGGGGATAGAATTTCAATGTGTACCTGTAACATGAAATACTGATTTGAACCCAAGTCCAAATCGTCCAATCTTAAAAGTATCATCTTTTTCTTTCACACTGACATAAATTGTTTTAATGCCTTTCCAATCCTTTTCAGTAAAAACACCATCATTGAATGTACATAGAGCTGGTCCCTAAAAGTAATTAGAAAATGGATAATGCATGCACATCATCATCATCATCATGAATTTGTTAATTTGAGATTTTCTTAATTCTCTTCCATTTATTTACACTTTCAAGCTTGCTAAATACACTGACTTCAAGACAAAAGGCCCATGGGCCACATTGCTCACCTGAGCACATTAGCTAGGAAAAAGCACATATCAGTTCAGTATTGAAAAGTTTACATGGGGGGGGGGGACTTGAATTTTAAATTTTCTGAGGATGCTTCCATATCAATATAACAAATGACTTTGCTGTTCTTGAGCAGGGGGGGGGGGGGGGTCATTTGAACAAACTTGAATCTACACTACCTGAGGATGCTTCCATATCAATATGACTAAACATGCCTTTCTGTTCTTAAAGAAGATTTTTTTCCTATATATTCCTTTCTAAATATTTAATCCCCACTGCGGCCCCTCCCAAGCCCAGGGGGTCATCATTTGAACAAACTTGACTCTACACTACCTGAGGATGCTTCCATATACATCAATCTGACTAAACATGGCTTTTCTGTTCTTGAGCAGAAGATTTTTGCCTATATATTCCTATGAATTTGATTTTGACTTTGATTCCCCCTGGTGGCCCCACCCTACAATCAGGGGGAGGGGAAGAAACTTGAATCTACATAACCTGAGGATGCTTCCATATCAATGTGACTAATCATGGCTTTGCTGTTCTTGAGATTTTTTCAAGATTTTTTCCTATATATTCCTCTGTAAAACTTTGATCCCCCACTGTGATCCCACCCTTCCCCCAGGGATAATGATTTGAACAAACTTGATCTACACTACCTTGCAACTATATAAAGATGGTTTTCTAAGAGTTTCAACTTTTTTGGCCCAGTGGTTCCTGAGAAGAAGATTTTTAAATCATGCCATTTTTTTTCTTTATTTCTGAATCATCTCCCTTTGAATGAGGGCATGGCCCTTCATTTGAAAAACTTGAATCCCCTTCACCCAAGAATACTTTGTGGCAAGTTTGGTTGAAATTGGCCCAGTGGTTCTGGAGAAGAGGTCGAAAATGTGAAAAGTTTACAGACAGACAGACAGACAGGCGGATGCCGGACAAAATGTGATCAAAAAGCCTACTTGAGTTTTCAGCTCAGGTGAGCTAAAAAGTTCATGACAAATCAACAAAGAACAGATGATTAGAAAAGCTCAATTTATCTTAAAATGAAATAAACCGTATGATTAATTTTCACCTTTGATCATTGAAATATTTGAGTCTAAAATTTTGTTTACCTGAAAGATTTTTTTGTATTTGGGGTCAAAATCTCCATCCCCTAAATTATCCTCAATACATGTCATAACCTTGAAAGTACTGGCTTTAGCATCTTCAGCATTCTGTACCAGTTCCTGTCAGCGTACATTGTATAGAAACATATAAAAACTTAGAGAGGGTAACTTGAAAAAATATTCACATGCATCAGCATTACATCTCAGATACGATGAGTTACCCTGATGATCTGGGGTCCGTCAGGATACTGTCGGAGGATATTCTGTAATTGACGTCGCACCGGAGGATCCTGCAGACCTTCATAGTCGCTGTCACTATCCTCTACAAGAAATAAGATCTATCTGAAAATTTTAGGAGCCAAAATGTAACAAGAGGCCCATGGGCCACATCACTCCCCTGAGCACATTGGCTAGGAAAAAGCACAAATCAGTTCATTATTGAAAAGTTTACAAGGGGGGGGGGGAATTGAATTTTAAACTACCTGAGGATGCTTCCTTATCAATATAACAAATGGCTTTGCTGTTCTGGAGCAGCAGATTTTTAAAGATTTGTTCCTATATATTCCTTTGTAAAATTTTGATCCCCCATTGTGGCCCCTCCCTACCCCCAAGGCTCATGATTTGAAAAAAAATTGAATCTCCTTTACCTGACGATGCTTCCATATAAATATGACTAAGCATGGCTTTGCTGTTTTTGAGAAGAATATTTTTAAAAGATTTCTCCTATGTATTCCTATATAACTATAGTCCTGCTGGACACGTTATTACTGGTGGCGTAAATATAGTTAATAATGGGGACCTTAGATCACTAATTTTAAATGGTCCTAAATATAGGGAATCCTGATCCTTCAACTGGCATCGGAATTTCATAAATATTACGGATTCTGTAGAGGATTATGCCAGGCGATGGGTCAGACATGAAAAAGAAGACCTTGACACTTTGTCAGAATGCATTAAAATGTATCAGATGTATGTTAAATTTGTGCATTGAAAGATTGAGGGGCAATATGAGAACCATTTATCCTTCTGTACTCAATAATCCAGAAGTGAAAAAAGAATTAGATAGATTACATGATCAGTACGTACTGGTCCCTGCTGACAAAGCAGGTAACAACATTGTCTTTGTTTGTGAGGCTCATTATATTAAATGTATTTTAGAGGAACTTGGATTTAATTCTACAAGTGGTAATCCAACTTATACTCATAATTCTCTTTCTAAGGAAGAAATTCTTCAAAATCATATGTCAGTTTTGAATATTTTTAATATTCCAAACAACCAAAATGAATTTGAATTACCATATCTATAATGGATTCTGAAACTTCATAAAAAGCCTTACAAAGATACAGAGCGGGTTCCAGTAAATGTTCAACCAAGCGTCTTTCTTTACTCCTCACTAAGATATTAACAGTAGTGAAGGAGAAACTTCAAGAGTACTGTGCAACAATATATTCGAGAAGTGGTGAAAATCAGATGTGGATACTTAAAAATTCCAAGGAACTTTAACAAAATTTTAAATCACAAGATTTTACCAAAATCAACAGCTTAAAAACTTATATAAGACAACGTATTGTCAATTAACAATGATGATTTCCA